GTTAATATCTCTGGATTTATCGCAGACGGTATTGTTAATATCACTGGATTTATCGCAGACGGTATTGTTAATATCTCTGGATTTATTGCAGACGGTATTGTTAATATCACTGGATTTATTGCAGACGGTATTGTTAATATCTCTGGATTTATCGCAGACGGTATTGTTAATATCACTGGATTTATTGCAGACTGTATTGTTAATATCACTGGATTTATCACAGACTGTATTGTTAATATCACTGGATTTATTGCAGACGGTATTGTTAATATCACTGGATTTATCGCAGACGGTATTGTTAATATCTCTGGATTTATTGCAGACGGTATTGTTAATATCACTGGATTTATTGCAGACAGTATTGTTAATATCACTGGATTTATCGCAGACGGTATTGTTAATATCACTGGATTTATTGCAGACGGTATTGTTAATATCTCTGGATTTATTGCAGACGGTATTGTTAATATCTCTGGATTTATCACTGACGGTATTGTTAATATCACTGGATTTATTGCAGACGGTATTGTTAATATCACTGGATTTATCACTGACGGTATTGTTAATATCACTGGATTTATCGCAGACGGTATTGTTAATATCTCTGGATTTATTGCAGACGGTATTGTTAATATCTCTGGATTTATCACTGACGGTATTGTTAATATCACTGGATTTATTGCAGACGGTATTGTTAATATCACTGGATTTATCACTGACGGTATTGTTAATATCACTGGATTTATCGCAGACGGTATTGTTAATATCTCTGGATTTATCGCAGACGGTATTGTTAATATCACTGGATTTATTGCAGACGGTATTGTTAATATCACTGGATTTATCACTGACGGTATTGTTAATATCACTGGATTTATCGCAGACGGTATTGTTAATATCTCTGGATTTATTGCAGACGGTATTGTTAATATCTCTGGATTTATTGCAGACGGTATTGTTAATATCACTGGATTTATTGCAGACGGTATTGTTAATATCACTGGATTTATCGCAAACGGTATTGTTGATATCACGTTCGTGACTCTCCTGTTTGAACTCATTCATCAAAATGAACAAATCTTTTCCAGAGTCAACTTGTTCATTTCGTTTGTTGAATGAACCAAATGACACGAAAAAAGGTTCGTTCATTTTGATGAACGAGTTCGAACACGAGAGTCATGAACGCGCATCACAGAACAGAGCAAGGCGACCATTTGAGCTTATAAAACGTAAACTTTGTAAAAAAAAATTAATGAGCGATCGTTTCACTTGATAAGACCCTTATTCATCGTCTGGTGTCGTTTAAAGCCCTTTGAACAGTTTGCACTGAAACTCTCATTTGGACCTTGAACCGTTTGGACCCCATTGAAGTCCATTATATGGAGAAAATCCTGGAATGTTTTCATCAAAAACCTTCATTTCTTTTCAACTGAAGAAAGAAAGACATGGACATCTTGGATGACACGGGGGTAAGTAAATGATCAGAAAAAGTTTTTTTAAAAGAGAACTACTCCTTTAACAAATGAAAGTGTTACCAGTTCAACTCCATTGATTTTTTTTTTGATCCAGATGTTATTAATGAACTGTAAGATGATTTTAAGCCGATAAGCGTGATTCTGCTTTCTCTTCTTGTAAACAAATGCGATTCATTTGATGCAGAAAATGGAAATTTCTTTCTTTCAGGATTTGTTTGTGATTTCTTTTTTTCTTTTTCCTGTGGTGTATGACATGTTTTTGCGTGCATATGGAAATGTTTCAACGTAGTTTTCCACTGAGAAAGAGTCACGTTTAATCCTCGGAGAGTTTGTTTGGCTGATAGTCTCAGCGTCACTGTCTATTTCACTTATATTTGAGTGTATTGATTTCAGGATTGCTGGTAAACACAAACGGATCATAATATTAATGCATGTTTACTCCAGTCAAAGGTTTGAGATCGGTGAGCTGTTTAATGATTTTAATAGAAGTCTCACCAGGGCTGCATTTACTTAATTAAAAATACAAAAAAAATGAATATATATATTACAATGTAAATCATCTGTTTTCTATGTGAATATATAGTAAAGTGTAATTTATTCCTGAATGTTCATCATCATTACTCCAGTCTTCAGTGTCACATGATCCTTCAGAAATCACTCTAATATGAGGATCTGATGATCAAGACACATTTATGATTATTATTATTATCAGTGTTAATACAGTTATTAACATTTTTATTTCAGGATTCTTTGATGAATAGAAAGTTCATGAGAACAGCATTCCTCTAAAATGGAAGCTTTTGTAACATTAACCGCTACCGTTCAACATTTTATTTCATGGGGAAAAGAAATCAAAACTTTTATTCCTCAAGGATTAATTAAATTGATCAAAAGTGACAGTAAAGACATTTATAATGTTACAAAAGCTTCTATTTCAGAGAAATGCTGTTCTTTTTTACTTACTATTCATCAAAGAATCCTGAAAACAAATTTTTACACAACACTGATAAAAATCATAAATGTTCCTCATATTGGAGTGATTTCTGAAGGGTCATGTGACACTGAAGACTGGAGTAATGATGCTGAAATGTCTGTGTATGCATCTGGACATTGGAGTAACCCACAAATAATTGTTTTAATTCTTTTTTTTAAATCTTACCGATCCAAACCTTTTGACTAGTAGTGTGTGTGTATGTTGATGTATAGTGTGTGTGTGTGTGTGTGTGTGTGAATCCGTCAGTCATGAGGTACGTGCCAGACTAAATATAGCAGATTCCCTGCAGTCATTGAGCGTTACCTTTTATGTCCCTGCCATTAAAAATAAATCAAACCTGAGTGCAGGAGCGTGTGTGTGTGTGTGTGTGTGTGTGTGTGTGTGTGTGTGTGAAGCCCCCGAATCATCCGTGCGTTCTTGGAGAAACTTGTTCCCTGTGTGTGCGTGAGTGTATGTGTGTGTACGTGCTTTAGAGTGTTTATCTGTGTGTGCATGCGCGAGAGTGTGTGTGTGTGTGTCGTGTGGAGCCGGTCACTCTCTGCCTCTGAATTATTTACCGCACGTCCGTCATGTGAAATCAGCCATATTTAATGCGCCGGCTGATGTACGGCTGTCAGGATATTGATCGAGTTCAGGCAGAACGCTGCTCTCAGCGGATCGGGTTAAAGGTCAAACGCCGTCACCCTTTAGTTTATCTTGCCGAATCCCATCAAAGAAATTGCTTATATTTTTAGTTTATACATATATGCGTGCGATAGTGTGTGTTTTGCACGCTTTTGCACGTTTTCCCGATGCTCTTCATGTGCACACACACACACACACAGAAGTACGAGGGCCTCAAACGCAGCGTGACCTCTGACCCCGCCTGCCATTAATCAGTCCTCTCCTGACGGGCTCGTCCCACTGGGAGAATCAAGCCAGCAAGGCATGATGGGAGTGTTAGGCGAGGGCCAATCAGGACGCAGCTCCATCCAGCAGCGGCGCCTCACTGAAGCTCTGGGCCAATCGGGTGTTTATATTGAGTCTGTCCGGCAGAAACACTGAGCTTCTGTTTAGTAACACACCGAATGTGACTCACAGTGTAAAATACAGCTTTATATTTGGGCTCAGTCACATTTTCCTTGAATTATTTCTTTAAAAAATGCATTAATTTGATCAAAAGTGACGGTAAAGACATTTGTAATCTCACCAAAGATTCATTTATTTTAGATAAATGCTGTTATTATCAACTTTATATTCATCAAAAAACTATTCTCAGCAAAAATATGAAGATGATGACTGTTTGTTGTACATGTATTCTCTCTCTCACACACACACACACATATATGTATGTATATGTTCTGTTTCCATCGCTCTCTCCTCAGTGTTCAGCACTAGAGGATGGTGTGTGTGTGTGTGTGTGTGTGTCAGTATTAATCATTCAGGACTGTTTCTATTGTCTCTCCTCCATTCATTCTCTGTCCTCTGTGTGGCTTCTTGCTGACCGGCGCTTTAATTCAGCCATCAATAACCTCGGCCTGACCTTTGACCCCTGCGGTTGTACTAATTGTTTGATGTTGTGTTGATGGTCAGAGGCATTAAAGAACTGCAGAGATGTCTCTGGACCTGATCTCCCATAATGCCGAGCAAAAAACACACACTGAAGTGCTTTTGTGTTGACGTGTGCGTGTCGGGGCACGTCACGTGACCTTTGAACTCGGAGTGTTTTTCATGGCACGTTCTCGCACGTTTCGGTTTCATGTTTTGCTTTGTGGAGCGAGATCTTAAAGCCGTCATGTGACTGAGTTTCTATAGGACACTGTTGATAAGAATCTCACCACACACACACACACACACACACACACCTTCAACAGTTCTCACATTATCTATAGTGGAGGAATCACATCTAAATGTCACTGGTATGAAGAATAAATGAACTATAGTGTCTTACACACACTAGTGTGTGTGTGTGTGTGTGTGGCAGAAGTCCCTGAGCTGAGGATGATCATGTGTGTGTTTCCACCCGTATCCCACCTGTGCCTTTGAAGTGTGTGTGTGTGAGCTGACCTCTGACCTCTGGAGCAACATCTGCCTTCAGTGGTTCAGTCTGAGGTGAAATGAAGCGTGCTCGTAGCCATGGAAACAACTTTTGAATATTCAAATAAAACTTACATTTAAATAGTAGTCAGATAACAAAATAACACATTTAACCCAAATAAATGTAAAATTATCTTATAAAACAACAACAAAACAGACTCACACACACACACACACACACACACACACAGTTGAGTTCTATATTAATGTGCTGTTCATTGATCTCAGATTGTTTTGTTGCTAAGCAACCACACAGCCCATAGTGAGCTCCATCACTCGGCAGAGGAAATGTTTATTAGGATTATCGGTTTATTCCGCGCGTCACGGATGATTTATGGATCGTGGTTTGGGCTGCTTTATAGCAGTCAGGTGTTGCAGTAAAACTCACGAGTGTCTGAATGTTTCTGAACACACACACACACACACTCTTTTTGATGCCGGTGTGTTTTCCGCAGGGACTCCGGTGAACCGGATCCCCATCATGGCGAAGCAGGTCCTGGATCTGTTCATGCTGTATAAACTGGTGACGGAGAAGGGCGGACTGGTGGAGGTCATCAACAAGAAGATCTGGAGAGAGATCACCAAGGGTCTGAACCTGCCCACCTCCATCACCAGCGCCGCCTTCACGCTGCGCACACAGTACGACACACACACACACACGCATATATTATATATATATATATGAAGAGTTCAGATGCAAAAGCCTCTAAATGCCATTTGAAATTTTCTTCTTGAATGATCATTTTTATCAAGCTTGTATATTTAAGTTCAGTGATTTCACTTAAATGGCAATGATAATTACCTATTAATTGTTATTTAAGTGAAATTACTGAACTTAAATATATAAGTTTGATAAAAATCATCATTAAAGAAGAAAATTTCAAATGGCATTTAGAGGCTTTTGCATCTGAACTCTTCATATATATATGTGTGTGACCCTGGACCCTGTAATTTGTTTAAATTGAGATTCATATATAATCTGAAAGTTGAATAAATAAGCGTGTGGTTTGGACAATATTTGGCCGAGATACAACTATTGAAAATCTGAGGATGCAAAAAATCAAAAACATTGAGAAAATCCTCTTTAAAGTTGTGCATTTATGTTCGTGATTTCACAAAAATA